ATTATCATAGAATAGAACAGAATTCATAATTTACAGTGAAAAACACACGAAACGTACGTTTCTACTCCAACTTTTTAATGGTAAAGTGCTAAAAAAAACTACTTTGAAAAGTCATGCAACGACAAAACAGGTGCATATATAGAATGATCTGATTTGCATTTGAAAACCGCTGCGAATGGTTTTATTAGTTTATAAATTATTGTATAAAACTTAGTTTACAAAAAATTAATAAAGTGATGATTAATATATTATCAACTAAACCGGACATCATAAATTAAGAAAACGGAAAGCCATGATGTAAATAGTTTTCGGGATAATGTGGTTTTAAAAATCTTTAATTTTCAAACACTTTTAAAGCCTTTTAAACTAAGTACATCATTATGTCTGCACTCGATCATCATAAATGTCTGTGTAAACATACTTGTGGTAAAACTGGTTATGGTAATAATTGACAATTAGGTTGTTATTAAAAATATGTGTTCTGATTGAAAATGAATTATTATTTTCCTAATTTGAATAAAATCAAGAATGCATGCAACTCCCTATGGCAGATCAGACCATAAACGGCTTTTTTTATGCATATATATGTAGAATTCGGAGGTGCGATGGGGACTCTGAAGCACGATGGTCACGCTGAAGTGCGATGGTCTGTGCTGAAATGCGATGGTCCGTTCGCTGATGTGCGATAGTCTTTATTACTCGTGATGGCTAGTTTTATACCTACAACTGTTCAATTATTAGGTCTATAAGAAGTAGATTTTTTTAATAGTTGGTATATAGATTTGCATTCGTTATTGTCTTTGTGTGTCCTTAGTTACATTTGCATACTTCGTCCTCTCTGATTTTAAGCATGTGAACATAATTCTGCGTTAACATTTTATCTTTACTTAGTTCCTCTCATGTGCTCCTAGTTTACATAATATTATAACATGGAGAGTTTGTCTGCGCACCCGTATGTATTTAGAGAATGCCTTCTACATCGATATGCAAAGCATTGAACGTATAGTTTATATAGTCCATTGCACATCAGCAATACCACCATCGCTCTTCGGCGTTACCACCATCGCACTTCGGCGTAGCTATATATCAACAAGATAGCGTCACAATGCCACCCACAATCGCACTTTAGTGTGATCAAACACGCGCTTCAGCGTCAGACCATCGCGGTTCTGAGTCCTACACATAGATTTATTGATGCCTTCAAAACTTCTGCATCCGTGTTGTTCCTGCATGCTTATTTACACTTTTGAACACATTTGTTTCCTGCATTTAGTGTTACAGAATATTAATTTTCATCCTGTGTTGTGCAAAGTAATTTATTTTCAGATCTGACCAGGCCAAGTTATTCTTTTTCAAAATTAGCTCTGATTCCTTGGTCGGGTTTGGCTATACTTTTGGTACCTTTTGGTTTTATCAGTTCTTCAACGTTTATATTAAAAATTGGATTTAAAAAAAAAATGACCTCGAGCATCACTAAATGGATAGTAATTGTCGAAATGCGAAGTAGTGCAGAAAAACTGGTACAGTTAATGTTTTAACAGACGATACATTTCACGTGAAACATTCCTCAATCAATCAAATACAATAGATTTCAAGTGGAACATCTCTTAATCAGTTACAGACAATACATTTCACGTGGAACATCTCTCAATCAATTACAGACAATACATTTCACGAGGAACATCTCTAAATCAATTACAGACAATACATTTCACGTGGAACATCCCTCAATCAATTACAGACAATACATTTCACGTGGAACATCTCTTAATCAATTACAGACAATACATTTCACGTGGAACATCTCTAAATCAATTACAGACAATACATTTCACGTGGAACATCTCTTAATCAATTACAGACAATACATTTCACGTGGAACATCTCTTAATCAATTACAGACAATATATTTCAGTTGGAACATCTCTTAATCAATTACAGAAAATACATTTTTGTTGGAACATCTCTTTATCAATTACAGACAATACATTTCAGTTGGAACATCTCTTAATCAATTACAGACATATATTTCAGTTGGAACATCTCTTAATCAATTGCGACAATAGATATCTATACGGTATAGGTATTGTTCTTTGTTGAAGGTTGTACAATGACCTGCAGTTGATTACATCCTTTTCCGTTGGTCTTTTTGGTGCATGGATATTTTTCTCTTTTGCAATTATACCACATCTTAGTACTTTTATACAATACCATAGACACTATACCCTTGCCAAATGTTGCATTGAGAAGAATGGTTAGCATATGATACAGTATATCTGTGTTGGTCATTAGTCATACAGTATATCTCTGTTGGTCTTTAGTCATATGATACAGTATATCTCTGTTGGTCTTTAGTCATATGATACAGTATATCTCTCTTGGTCTTTAGTCATATGATACAGTATATTTCTGTTGGTCTTTAGTCATACAGTATATCTCTGTTGGTCTTTAGTCATAAAGTATATCTCTGTTGGTCTTTAGTCATATGATACAGTATATCTCTGTTGGTCTTTAGTCATACAGTATATCTCTGTTGGTCTTTAGTCATATGATACAGTATATCTCTGTTGGTCTTTAGTCATACAGTATATCTCTGTTGGTCTTTAGTCATACAGTATATCTCTGTTGGTCTTTAGTCATATAATACAGTATATCTGTTGGTCTTTAGTCCTGACTCAATCTAATACTTCGTCGACTACTGTCGTGCAGTGAGCCAGGATCCCAGGCTAGTCTTTAGTCTTTAATAATACAGTATATCTCTGTTGGTCTTTAGTCATACAGTATATCTCTGTTGGTCTTTAGTCATATGATAAATGTAACTGCAATTTTAACCATAGAGCAAAAGCTAAGTAAAAAAAGTATACATGTAAAATATAATTGATGTTCACTGTCAAAAAAATATGATATATTCTTGAATGCGGTTGTCACTCTCATCTTAAAAACAAGGGCAATTACTTAAAATTTTACCCATTAAATTAAATTTTATTAAGTCTTTGTTCTTTTTTAAAGATAATTAATATAATTATAATCATAAATTACTTACTTAAAACGTTCATACTTCTTATACTCATTCAGTTGACATATCTAATGATAATGAATTATACAGCAAAGGTCGTTTAAGGAAGACATAAACTGTATAATTTAAAAGTAAAATTAACCTATAGTTATACTATTATCATCAATCCAGTATTTCGGAACTGGCACTGAGGTATTAGCAAGATTTTGTTAAATTCTTAGCTATTAAAATCGAAATTGTTTGATACACAGGTACATTTTATGTACAGATAAAATGAATACGTTGTCCAAATGAGATGTATAAATATAAGGATAGAATTTGATAATTTTTTTCTCATTTGCCTTTTCCCTGACAAATGACTCTGTAATAATGCGGGGACCCCTAAATTGCTTCCCTGGACAATATAGGGTGTATGTGACAGGTGATTTATTAATTACACATGTAAATATGTTAATAATTGTAAACATAAAAATAAATTAAAAAAAAAAAAAAAAAAAATCTTAGCTGATACATTTTGTAACTTTTGCTCAATAAACGTACACCAAGGTTGACCTAAGGTTTTGGTATTTGTTTACCCCTTTTGTTCATGTAATTTTAAAGTTTTGGCTCTGACACTTCCTGACGCAGGTATAATAAAAGCGTTTCTAATAATTGTAGTACGAACGTCATGCGTTTCTGGAATATCCCTATAATCAATAAATAAGGTAAAGTAAGAAAACCGCTTCGCACAAGTTTCGGCTATATTTGTAAATTTCAATTCTATCCCGATATATTTTGAAAACTACCTTTTTATTACATAAACAACCACTTTTACAATGTATGAAGTTATTCGAAATCAATACAATATTAATCAATTCTACATGGAATATTCTGTAGGTTTTGCAAATAACAGATAAAGTAAATTGCAGAAACTAACTTATTTACAATTTGAGATAAATTCAAGAGATTACTGTAAAGTATAACGTATATACACATTAAAAGGATCGACTATCCTTAATTTATCAAACCCCAAGGAATTGTTCTTATCAATAAAAAAACAAAAAACAAAACAAACTCCAATTATCAGTCCAGTGCTATCAGTAGATGATTCTACGGTTGATAGACTTAACAATTAGTAAGGTGAGTGCATAGAGAGCACGAAAAAACTAATATAACACAGGGCATGTTTTAAATAAACAGGTCACAAATTTACAGATGAGAGATGTACCTCAACGTAACAGATGGAAGCCGAATCTCATAATAACAGATGGGAGTGGACCTCTTATTAACAGAAGGATACAGATTTCAAATTAACAGTTGCGAAACGCCGGATGTCAAACGAAACGATTGAAGGCGGGTCTCATTGAAGAGATAGGAGTCGGATATCAATTGAAAAGGGAAACGGAGAAAAGTGGATAAAAATACAGAACCAACTATATTAAATCAGCAATAAATGGTTGATGACGAATACAGAATGGACCAAGGAAGAGACGAAATCAAAGGTCAAATCAAAAACCATACGAAAGGTCAAATAAAAAACCATCAGTCGAAGTAAGACAGACAACATTATAGACAAAAAAAATTGGAACAGACAATCACAAACCCACAAATACAATACAAAGAAAAAATTACGATTAAGAACGGACGATAATTCAGGGATTTCGGAAGAGTCAGAAGTTGACAAGCAGACACACTACTGTCCTCAAAACAAGATAGAGAAACCACAACCAAATAATAAAACAAAGAAAAAAGCGATGAAGGTACCAACTCAATCAAGCCTGAAGAACAGATACTGAAAAAGTATACTCATACCAGTAACCAAATTCAACTAGACAGTCTTAAAGATAAAGGAGAACAGATTTACACAAGAGAATAAACTAAAACAAGGGCAATGTGACCTACTAATAACAACAGAATGAATATCAGGTGCTCTGAAAGGGTAGGAAAAGAGTATACGAGTTTACTCCTGAAATAAAGAAATGATTAAGTAGAACAAACACAATCGTATAATGCTGTAGTTTTTTTATTATTTCTAATATACATATAATATATATATATATATATATATATATATATTACTATGAAAGAGATATACATAAGTGTATAAAATAATTAACTTATCTAACAAATAAAGAATGATAGATATACTATGCATTTATAATATTCTGTAAAATACAACCATTGAGTTGCTCGATTATTGCAAACTCCCGCATATGAAACTTATATCGTTATCTTGTCATTACTAGTGATATTTTAAGAGTACATCTGAACTTCTTCAATACCGCCTATGGCTATTCTCATTTATATATCTTAAAATTTTGTGTCAAAGAAACACCTATCCCATGTCGGTTTTACGGTTTTAACCAATCTAAGTTAGATTTAAACTTTCACATTACGGAAATACCATGTTGAATCAAATTAGATCGTTGAAATGTTACCTAATATTATATTCTTAGTAATTTTTTAATCAAATGTCATTGAAAAAATTAACTCTCTAAGATAAACTAAGTCATACTGTTCATACCCCCCCCCCCCCCCCCTAAAAAAAGAAAAAGAAATAACAAATATCTTTCAGAAATACACTAACAAGCTCCAAGGTCTTCAATAAACAATAACACTTTGAAACAAAGAATATAAATCTAAAGATGTGATAAGAAGATAAACTTGTAACTGTATTGCAATGTCGAGGTAGTATAAATATGTTATCCATGTAATGAAATTCTATACGGTAATGGCACTGCCTCCAGCAAACCTATGTCATTGAAAAAAGTAACTCTGTAAGATAAACTAAGTCATATTGTTCATACCCCCCCCCCCCCTAAAAAAAAAAAGAAAAAGAAATAACAAATATCTTTCAGAAATACACTAACAAGCTCCAAGGTCTTCAATAAACAATAACACTTTGAAACAAAGAATATAAATCTAAAGATGTGATAAGAAGATACACTTGTAACTGTATTGCAATGTCGAGGTAGTATAAATATGTCATCCATGTAATGAACTTCTATACGGTAATGGCACTGCCTCCAGCAAACCTGTCAAAAGAAAACACATTTTACAATATCAGCTGACAAACATGTAGATACAACGGTATATATTAACTGATTGATTGTTGGTGTTTAACGCAACTTTCAGCACTATTGGCTATTTCGTAGCGGTCAGTTTTATAATTACTGTTGGAGGAAGCAGCGTGCCCAGAGAGAACCACCGACCTTCGGCTGGAAAATTGACAATCCTTGTCAATCTAGATTGGAGTCGAACGCACCTGCCACGTGTGGGGTTCGAACGCAAAACGATATAGATATTTGAAACACAATGAATTGTGAAGCATTGCCGTTCAATTCCCCTTTTTCCTTTTCCCAATTACAATTCAGTAAGAGTAAATTCACTTTTCTGCGAGTATTTTCTACACAACTTCATCCGCATTTTTAATTTCATCTATTTTGAGTTGTTTGACTGTTATACTGGGCTAGAAATTATGCATGATAAAGTATTACATGCATATAAACAAAATCAATTTAGTATTTAAAACAAGATACTCGTAGCAACCCAAGAGAGCCAACTCGTGAAAATGCCTGCAAAGGGAGACAACTTTTGGATACAAAAATAGAGAGTAACAGCCCGTAACAAACATTTTAACACCTCATTGTTTCCATTTTAACTTCAATAATACCACATTTATTAGGCTATATAAATTGCTTAAAGACAAAAAAAGTGTGAAATATATCATGTGAGACGACACGAATATTATCTATTTTTTCTTTTACATTAACATTTATGAATTATTTACCGAAATAAACAAACTAAAGTCTAATTTGTTTATTTCATAAAATGACAAATGACATTTATAACAAGTAAACATTATTCTATTTTTTTTTTACATTTGTTTACAGACGGAATCGAGAATTTGAGTAGATAATAATATTCATTACTAAAAACAATAAGTGGATTTTACATATAATAGTAATTAGTCACGAAAGGCATAAAGAGAAAAATAAATCAATGTTCCAAATGGACTGTCATAAATACGTTGATACGGTCAGATCAAGGGTATCAAAAGATCCACAAGCAATCCAAGACCTAGTTACTCCGGTGGTGCACTAGATTGCACATCACACTTGGAGACTTGGACTAACTCATAATTTTCATAATAGGCACTGTTCTATATTTTCAAAAGTTCTTACAAACCGACATTGTATGTGCTTGTCACATGACCGGAACCTGTTATTCAGCAGTTGTTATTTGTTGCTGTATTATTAGGTTTTTCGTTATGGTTTTGTACATAAATAAGCTTTCTCGTTTGAATTGTTTTACATTTGTCATGTTGGGGCTTTTATAGCTTGATATGCGGTATGTGTTTTGCTCGTCGTTGAAAGCCGCACGGCGACCTTGAAAGTTGTCTCAATGGCAATCATACCACTTCATCTCATTTTTATACTATCTCCATTGTATAACAGATTGAATATTTGACTTTCATTTGCATAACGCACAAACAAAAATTAAAGGGTTAAATCAGGGGCAACTTCAAGTTTGATTCCCCGTAACTATTAACCTCTCAATTGTTTGAAACATTTCTGTAACTAGTGTTCATATGAACAGTTTACCCTTTCGGAGCACATGAGTTCATCTTCGATGTCATGCACTGTCTGTGTAGCAGAGTTCTTCATGTTGTAATAAAAGTAGTACAAACGTTAAATACTTAGTTTTAAATTTTAAAGTTTTATGTCACAGATAAAAGTAGATGCGAGTCAATGATACAACAATCCAAGAACATGCGATCAGGGTTCTTTTCACAAAAAAAATCTTACGATAAAAAAATCGTCAGTTATATTAAAATTTTCATTGCTTACGAGTATTTTCTCTGAGACTCTTAAGATTTTTTTGTAAAAATGTTTCCCCTCCAAAAAGAACATCCAATATCCAAAAGAAACTTCTAGGAAAGGCACGTGAACATGTGATAGAGTGTGGAATTAAATTTTGATATTTCCTTAAGGCATGTGACAATTAGAGTTAAAATAAAATTTTGATATTTCCTTTATTTGATATATATAGATGTAGATCTCATATTGAAGATCATATTTGTTTTCCATAGTTTCTCTCTATCTATAATAGTGTTCAGGATACTAGTAATTGTAAAAATAAAAATAAATGAGTAAATAAATAAAATCGCCATTTAAGGGCAATAATTCCTTTAAAGTAAATTGTCAATTTGGTTTATATTGAACTATTTGTACTTATTCCACAACTACAGTTTACCCACATGTTTATTTTTAGCCATGACGGCCATATTGGTTGATTGGCAGAAACAAAAAACTAAACTAGGGGTGTCGGAACGACACGAATGGCCCCACTCGCAAAAAAAAGCTTGATGCCATTTTTAGGAGTGAAATTTGAGAATGAAAGTCTATATAACTGTTAATTACACGAAAATTTCAAAGTCCAAAGTCCGTAATTTCAGCCAAAATCAGCAGAACCAAACGTAAACTCGATCTATAACTGATCATAGTAGACTCACATACTAAAAATCAGCTCAATATGTGCAGGCGTTTAGAAACTAGAGGCTCTTAAGAGCCTGTGTCGCTCCCCTTGGTCTATGTGATTCCACAAAGGACACTCTCCAACATTGAAGACAAGTATAGAATTCATGACAAAAATCTCTGTTTTGTTGATATTGTATTGCTGATCATTTAGTCTGTTGAGTTCCTCTTTATCTTCTTTGGTTTTTGCTCAAAACACAAAAGAGGACAAAAATCCTCATTTAAGGGCAATCTCTCCTATAAAGAGTGACAGTCTACTAACTATATCGGCAAAATTTTACTTGTTAGTAGATCTTGCCATGCTGATCATTTTTGTGATTTAAAGTGTCTATTTATCTATTATAATTCTTATCATACAAGGCAAAACGCAAAAAGAAAAGGTAAAAATCGTCATTAAAAGGGCAATAACTCTTATAAGGACTCGACTGACGATTTCGACCATTATACTTATTTGTAGAACTTGTCTTGCTGATCATTTGTGCGTTTTAAAGTTTCGCTCTATATGTTATAGTTTTCAAGATAATAGGCAAAAATGGAAAATAAGTCAGTATATAACTGTTTGTTGGGGAATGACGGAATGACGGATAAAACTTTATGCCCGACAACTTTGTTGCGGGGCCATACAAACATAATTTTAGATATCCTCAGGATCATTCAGCACATGCTTGGTTGAAATTGGTAAAATGGTTCCAGACAAGAATATTTTTGAAAAAGTTTTCGACGACGACGGACGCCAAAAGATAGTTAAAAAAAACCAAACACCGCTAAAATATGTACAAAAATTTCTTCCGAAGAAATATTCAAGCATCAAGCCTATCAACTGAAGCGACCTTTATCAAGGTTAATCGTAATATTATACATATTTATTCAGATGGTGTTATTGTCCTATGTCAAGATATGACGACTGATACAATTGTAAATCCTATGGATCATTTAATATACAATCGTAACATCCGTCAATTAACTAGAACAATGGGTGAACATTCTGTAGTGACACCTTTTCATAAAACCAAACGATACGGAGATTCGATTAGACACAAAAATGGAAACAAAATTAAACTGCCATAAGAAAATATTATAGTTTTGGGTAGGGCGGAAAAAAGTATTCACGACCATAGAATCGAACCCGAATGAGCCTATGCTGGATGTGTCCGTTTTATGAAAGGGTAGGGCGGAAAAAAGTATTCACGACCATAGAATCGAACCCGAATGAGCCTATGCTGGATGTGTCCGTTTTATGAAAGGAGAGCCGCTCTTTTCAAACAAGGTTTGCGTATTTGATACATCCGTCACAACCATGGAATCCCCAAGCATTGAGGGAGTTTTCATGAGTCTTTGAATGGGTTCTATGGAAGACGTTAAAAAGTTTAATCATAATAAAACACACAAAAATGGAATTGTATGCATGTAATAGATATACACCGAGGGATAGGTGTGTCTTGATATGAAACCCCGACGGCCGGAGGCGGGAGGGGTTTCTTATCCAGACACGTCGTATCCCGAGGGGTATAACTAACTTTCACCCCATGCTAAACCTTACATTTCTTAACCTTGATTACTAAATGAAAAGATTGGATAGCTTATTTATTTACAATATCAAACTATGATTTATAAGAATTTTTTTAACATGAAACCCCACTAGTAACCTTACTTTGGCTATCTTCGTTCAAACTTTGACAAGTGAGTAGATTTTACAAATGTCAAAGATGCTGTTTTGCATATTCCCGTTAAATCCTTGTGCTAATATGGATCAGCAGGTCAAGGTTGACCGTTTCATGCATTTTCATTACAAAAAAAAAAATACATCATGCTCCTTGTATGCAGTTGTCAATATGGACGGGTATAAGACGGACGACATTTTGAGTTAAGCGTTGGATTTGGTAGAAGAGACTAAAGATAAAGGCAATATAATAATCAAAAGTACTTACCTGTATCAGTTTAATGAAGGTTATCATAAATGTATTTTTTATGTTACGGTTTTATAAACCCCCTCTCTATTATCAAGTATAAACAAACATTCATATTCGGACATACTGAGGCTAGATGTGTCTGGATTAGAAATCCGAGGACCGGACACGCTCAACATACAAAAATACAGATTGAATATTTAGGAACTCCCTTTTTTGTGGGGCAATCCAGGGGTGGAGGTCCGGGAGTTAGAAGCTCAGTTTTTTTAAAGATCAATGTTTAAGAATAGAGACATATGACCGCGATCAGTGGCGGATCTAGGGGTCCGGGGGTTGGATTCCCCCCTCCCCCCAATTTGTGACGATCAATGCATTTAAATGGGTTCAATTAAATTAACATGAATGGAATCCCCCCTTTTATCATTTTAACCTTCAAGCAAAGGAGTATTTAAAGGATTTTTTTTTATATTCAAAATAGATGCTTAATACTTTTTTCGCTATTTGAATTTCAAATAGCGAAACAATTTAAAAAAAACTCATTTTAGGAAATTTAAATTGAATTTCCTAAATTGTGATTTTTTTTTTATATCT